AGCCAATGGAGTTAGTGTAGTTGCTTTTTTAATGTTATTCATACTTCTCATTAAATGCATTAAGTCTTTTGTTAGATGTGTTAGCTAGCTCTCTATCAGTGGGGAATAGCCCCCCCTGAAAAATATAATAATAATAATAATAATAATAATAATAATAATAATATTAACCGAAACAGTCATAACACTACTGAAACTTCAGCAAATGTTTCAGTAGTGACTGTTTTGCTGGTGACAATTTTAGCTAATTTTTAGCTGAACTCCAAAACATCAGCCAGTACATGACCAGCAAACACAGGTTTGAAAAGTTATTGACACATAAAATCATAATATTTTTATTAGAACTCAAAGTTACATAATTTCAGAAAGGATGTGTTTCGGTAGTGACTATTCTTAATGTTCCACACAGATTTTCAGACTTTAAGACACGTTTACTTCAAAACAGTGGAGTAAAGGCCCAGCCTGGATGCCTCAAGTTCAGGGAACTCCAATGTCCAGAAGCCCTCAGGGTTAATTAGGCCCAACCTGGCATACTTGTGGACTCCTCTACTTAAGGCTGTGGCAAGCAGCAGCCTTTTGTCACACCTTTGTAGAGGGGTGACCAGTACGGTACTTAGACCTGGTGGGTATTTAAGCGAAAAAAGAAAGGAAATGGGAAAAAAAAGAAACGAAAAAGGGCTGGAAAAACGAAAGACAGAAATAGCCCCAAAACTGCTTAAAAGCCAAAAAGAAGGCTTGAGCAAGAAATGGCTCTAAGCCATACAAAGAGTGTTTGTTACACAAAAGGCAAACAGATGAAACATAAAGTTGACCTTCCTCTCATTCATCACAGAGGAAGTGTTTTTTTGTTTGTTTGTTTGTTTTCTGATTATCATTTATTTCACTTTTCTATCTCAGCCTAACAAATGGAATCTAACTGCTTACCATGTGGCCAGGGATGCAGTTTCCTTTCCTGCTCTGAAAAATGCAGGGGCATGGCCAAAATAAGGCTCCGCCTATGGACTAACACTTCAGTACTGTCATGAAAGAGATTTTTTTTTTTTATTTAACAGTTAAACTCATGATGAATTTCTATATTTCTACCTTACTAAAAACAAAAGGCTTAAAGAAAAAAAAAATGAAAGTATTATTTTCACAAGTGTAAATTAGGGGTTTGGGACAGACATCCCCCAATAGAAAGTACCCTATAAATGATGATTTTGTATATATGTATATATACAGATTTTGTATATATGTAGCTTATTACTATTTCTATTATTGCATTGAGTTTAAATAGATCATAAGATTGTTAATGTCTGAATACTTAGTTGTATTTTTTAATAGTTTTGTTACTGTGTGACAGCAGTTTGAACTAATATGGTAGAATGAGCTGTACAGCTTCTGTTGGGTAAGCTGCATAAAATATCTATATTTTTTTAAATGTAAATACATGATTGGCCATATGAATGTGGAATGTGGTATGAGACCCATGGAGTGATGTAGAGGTTGGAAAAATTCTGGACTGCTATGTAAAGTATCTAGAGAAACAAGATATTTTGGTCCTTCATCACTCATGCATGTTAAATTCCTCTAATGCTGCAGGAGGTGAAGCGGCTGATATTTAGTCTTTCACATGTTTAAAACAAAGCGTTCATTCCACAGAGCTACAGCGTCTGAGTGTGTAGACGGGTTTTTACTTTAGGTTTTAGTAAATCCGTCATTGCCATAGCAACAACTGACAATATCAATAATGTCATTAATGTTATGTCCATTTCAAACCACCTGAAATGAAAAGTCCTTGATTCGATCAGCCAGTCCTCTCTTTGTTTCCCTAATGCAGAGTTGATTGCATCTCTTGCCTGAGCTATAATAACCAATGCCTGAAGTAATGCATGAGGAGTGCTGGTTGATCATGATTGATGATTTATGTGGTACATGCAAATTTATTAACATATCCAATAAAATTACAGGCCTTAACACATCAATCAGCCTGTAAGGAGAAGGTAGGATTGTTGTAGATCACACTGCTGCAGATCATCTGCCTCTGAATGGCATTAATTGTGAGTGTAAATGTGAAAACATGCATGCATACATGCCTAGAAGAGATATGCTAATTAGGGCGATGGTATTTTTCAAAGTCGAAGAGCATGAAGAAATATTTCAGAGTGTTCATTATAGATTATGGTAGTCATTTATCCAAGCGTGTGCACGCTACCCTTAAACCCCTCCACTGCAATGTCTCTTTCTGTGGGTGATTTACTGAGCGAATGCTGTGGCGGTCCATCTCCCTCTCGCTGCCTGCCATCAGCAGCCATCTGCATGCTGGTGCTTAATTACAGACTCAACCTGTGGAGATTAGCAGCGTTAAAGTGAGGGATGATTTCAAACCCAAATGAGGAGCAGATTTCTGCCTGAGAGGAAAATAACTACAATAGCAAGTGTACTGCAATGTACATGAGTACAGGATATCTGTGCTCGCTGAAGTGAATGTATTTTAAATCTTATTTTATGCTCACTCGTTGCTGTGCTGCTACAGCAGTGAAATAACTAGCATAGTAAATTTGTGGTAACACATTATTTGGTGTGGTCCTTTATAGATGAGTTCTAAACTCTTACCAGAGTTGAGTTGAGTCAGTGAAGTAGCAGTAGTGAGGCATCTGAATACACTGAAGTAAATATCTTGAAGATCTTCTGTTGATACATTACTAACATTATGTAGATGTATTGTTAATATGTTACTTCCATTGTGCAAAACCTAACCTTACCAACCGTACCCAAAACCTAACCTGGCCCTAATCCTAATCCTAACATTAACCTCAACCCAAAACCTAATCCTAACCCTAACCCTGGCCCTAATCCTAACCCTAACCTTAACCTCAACCCAAAACCTAATCCTAACCCTCACCCTGGCCCTAATCCTAACCCTTACCATAAACTCAACCCAAAACTTAACCTTAACCCTCATATGTTTTTGTGTGTTACCACTCAAGGACCACTCAAAATAAAGCGTCACCAAATTAGTACTCTGGTTAGAATTCTATATGAACTGTTTTAAAACACTATCAGTAAAGCCAAGTGTGATAGATGAACATCAGTAAAGTGGATTAGAAGTAATAATTTTGCTAATAAATTATGAACCCCAGATAACACTATAATAGCGATTAGTTTAGAAGGCATATGTTATGTATTACTTCATTTTGAACCATTCAGGTAAATAGTTATTTATCATTATAAAATGGATAATTCTGTTCCTAAAATCTGATTGGCTGAGCCACGTTCAAAGCCATTGTAAAATCCACAATATGCGCACACTTATGACTGCCTCACAGTAATTGAACTGTATTACTGGACCACGGCACAAAAAACCCTTGTGCTGTTAATGGAATAATCTTTGACCCTCATGCTGCTGGCATGGACCACCGAGTGTACGGATGTAGTAAGAACCCATTTTTGTTTAAAATGAGGGGCTGGCAACTTATTTTCTTAACTAGAACTAGGCTGGTCAGCTTAATATCACAAGCTTGAATTAAAGTACTTACAGTATGATTCAAAATATGTATCATGTAAAACTGCAATATAAAAGTCTAAAAATGTCACTTGAATGGCTTTCATCCTTCAAATGTTCATGTTTCAGTCAGAAGTAGCGTCAAATCCTAAACGGTTCTGTACTCCCTAAATAGTGTGCTAGCTATGCTTTATGTACGTAATAAGGAATTTTATGATTAGTTCATAATGTAATAGTTCAATATGTTAACACATTTGTGTTTCCATTGCTTTATAATTAATGATGAATCACAATTTAGATGTTATCCACTGTTTAAGTATATTTGGTGAGTATTTTGAATGTATTTACAAAGTCCTGGCTGCTAATGTAATTGGTCTTTTGTAACCCCCAATAATGCTAAAAACTTTGGCCCCCAAATGATTTTGTAACAAACAGAAGTGATTTTCTTGGCTATGTCTTACAAAATGGTGTATATGTCAGCTGCAACATTTTTGCAGCCTGCAATCTAACATGAAAAGAATCTAGTTCACATAAATATCTATAAATGCCCTTGAATCATTTACAAATGTTCTTACACTAGAATAGGAGATGTTAGTCCATAAACAACCTCAATAAACTCTCTTATCCATCCAGTCTTGACGCCTCCATTTGTGATAGAAGTCAAGACCACTGTTCAGAATGTAGGTGGGAATTCATCTGTTGTATTAAACTTGAGGCAAAAACAAACATTGCGAACAAAACATGAATCAAATGATGCCAAAGACAAACTGAAGCATGAGAGCTACTTGCACCAAAAACAAGAACAGAAACCACCTGGAAAAAGATAACACACCACACAAATCTCTAATGATAAGGTGGGAGGAGGCAGAAGAGGGTAGAGCCAGGAACAGGACACTGTGACATCACCTTAGATTAGGGGCTACAAAAATAACATTTAAGTGATTTGTAAACTACGATCAAGTAGTGGTTTATATGTGCAGAGTAATGTTAATACAATGATTAATGATGAATGAAATACGTATGAATAGTTGTAAATAGGTAGTGATGAGTTATGAAATAGCAGCTAATAAATCTCTTATGGATTATCGTTAATATATAGTAAATCTACCCCAAACCTAAATCTAACTGAGAGTTTCATCAGATGGTTTGTTAACAATTGTAGTGGACAATAGAAATAAAATATGACCCGAACCTTTATATATCAAGCTCTTTTCTTCAGCTTAATACTAATGTTAATACAATAATAATGACAGAACCTTATTTCCAGTTAGCTTTCCAGGAATGATTATCTTAATAGCTTATCTAAAATCAACCTCTATGCATTTTAAAACTCAGAGACAGTGGACAAAGACGTGTCATTCAGAAAGTAGGTCTGTTCGGCGTTCTATGATACTTCATAAAAGATACAATGCCTTATAGTGAACATAAATCATTCATGACTTCTAAGAAAAGTGAAGATACAGTCCTCATGGCCTGATTCAACCCTGTGTGTTACAGCACAGGGATTTTTTTCACCAGGTGAGCGGAGGATTCAGGTTTAATGAAGATTCATTGTAATATTACATTGAAGTGAAGCTGCAGGTCAGCACTTCCATGCATGAATACACTCTTAATGGTCTGGGTCAGTTCAGCATTAGCAAAGAGTGGCTGTCCTGGTGTATTAGCATCATTCTGCTCAGCTGAATCTGCATCTTGGACAGGTTTAAATTTATACATCACCGAAAACACTTCTGTTGCAATTTGCATTCTTTTTGATCTGAAAGTTTGCAAATAAGCTGCATTACACAGGAAAGAGCAGGAATCCAGAGAAGGTGCTGACACTGTTGTAGCTGTCAAAAATGTGAAGACCACCCCAAAGGGTAATATACACTTGGTCTCCCTTTTCCAGCTGAAGAATGGCCCTGTTTGCTCCATTGACATCTTTATGGCTGCTGTTATAATCGTAGGTAGCCACGATTTGCTGTCCGTTCTTGCACAGATGTACACCCATGCTGTTTCTACCATTTGCAAAGGCAGAAAAGCCAAAGTAGTAAACTCCTTTGACTGGTGCGGTGAACATTCCTGAAGAGGGAAAGAATAATTCAATATTTGCATTTGTAGAAAATATAAGAAAAAAGACGGTAAGAAAGTATATTTAACTGACTGAATTTGAATCAGGTCTGTTACATCGGTGCAAACATTAAGTTGTGCACTGGTATGACCAATCAACTCTTTTGTAAGAACTTAGACACTATACCAGTAGATGGGTTGTATGCATTTCCAAAGTTTATGAAGACTTTCCGGAATACCAGAGTAACCTCAGAACTGTGTCCTCCAATCGTCTGACCACCCTCACCAAAAAGGGACGCTGAGAATGCAACATTTGGTTTTTCTGCAGAAAAGAAGCAATAAAGACGCTGTAGGCCATAATTCATCCAGTTTAAAGACAAATATACAGTCATACACAAAAAATGTAACTTTTTTTATTTAAAAGTTAATGATGTTTTAGGTCAGGTTTACACATAAATATAGAAAACTAAAGGTTTCACAAACTTTCAAGCACCACTGGATGTTTTTCTGTTACTTTATAAATGATGATGAATCAGAATCCATATATTATCAATTGTTAGTCAATATATATGGTGAGTAGTTTCAAAAGTATTTACAAAGTCCTGGCTGCTAATGCAATGTGTCTTTTGTAACCCCCAATACTGCTAATAACTTTAGGTCCCTAAATGATTTTGTAACAAACAGAAGTGATTTTCTTGGTCATGTTTTAAAAATTATGTATACGTTATTTGTCAATTTTCTGCAACATTTTTGCAGCCTGCAATCTAATGTGTGTGTGTGTGTGTGTGTGTGTGTGTGTGTGTGTGTGTGTAAACAATTATTATTAATATATGTATAAAGGCCCATAAGTTATTTACAAACTTCCTTAAGCTAGAATAGGAGATATTAGTCCATAAACAAGCTCAATAAACATTCTTATCCATCCTGCCCTGGTGCCTCCGTTTGTGACAAATGAAAAAGACCACCATTATGAATGTAGGTGGGAATCTGTTTTATTAAACTTAAGGCAAAAACAAACATTCTAAACAAAACATGAATCAAATGATGCCAGACAAACTGAAACATGAGAGCTACTCCTACCAAGGTATCTGCAGAAAAGAAGCAATAAGATAAAGGCACCGTAGGCCATAACTCAGCCAGTTTAAAGAGAAATATACAGTCAATAACAAAATATTTAAACTCTATAAACTTTATTTTAAAATTGTAACATTTTACAATTCATTGACCAATTAAAAAATGGATTTGAGATTTTATTCTGAGAGTTATCATTTAGAACTGTGTATTTTCTAAAGTATCTGAAAAGTTTACAGACACAGTCTTACCTGTTAGCTGTTTCTGAAGTTCTTCCAGTGTAACCTTCTGCTCTGCCACTGCGGATTTCAGTTCTTTGAGCTCAGAGTGAGTTTCAGGGCTGCACTGATTCCCTGTGCACATAAAATAGAAATTGCTATGGTGCCACCTACTCCCCTAAAAAAGTTGTTAAGATTAAGTTTTGCACAAGTTCAAGGTTCCAGCCAATTAGGTGGTGGTTTTATAGACCTGAGTGTAAAGAGAAGCACTCTGACCTAATTGTGAGCCACACTGGGAAAGACACATGGCAGCAGGGCAGGAGGCCTTCTTATCCCAGGGCTGCTTTTTCGATCTTTGTCATTAAGTGTTCACAGTGTGCTCAATCAAAGCTCAGTCAATTGCACGAGTACCCAAATAGAGAAAATGGCCAAAATGCCCCATGAATAATTTTGAAATTAACAACCAGGTGGGCCAGTGCTGCCTCTTATCCTGCTTGGAGCACTTAAAATGGATTATAGTTCTCTTAAATTCACTCACAGAACATCTGAAGGATAAACATTGAAGTGCATAGACTAAGACTAGAAATTGCTTCTATCAACCGCTGTCTTGGAGGGTGTTTTAGAACCCTTGGCTACATGAGGTTGTCAAACATGCCTAATGCTTTCTTTTCAGGAGACCATTCAGATATGTCATCACTTGAGATGTAAATGTTGACATAATTTTGATAGATTTATAGATTTGGCCATTTTTTGATCCTGCTTTTTATTTGGACTTTTGGCATGTATAAACTGTCAAAAACATTCTCCGTTCACATATCTTATTAAACATTATGAAACTGGAGCGCCTATGGGCCGAAAATACAAGAATTTAGATAATGCTTCATTCTGTGACTTATTATTTGCGAAAATACATGATTAACATAAAGCAGCCATTATTTTTATTGATTTTCATTCCTCTTGGCTCTTGGATCCACACTGAGTGATTAGCATGGCAGACCTCGGAACATTTTGTTCAGAGCCAAGATATTCATTCATTCATTCATTCATCCATTCATTCATTTATTGGGACTCACTTTAACCTATAGTAACCTGCATCCAGAACACTCTGGAGCATAGAACACCAGTGCCAGTCAAAAACACACTAAAACAGTATTTTAGCAAATTCTGATTCTGTTTCATTTTAGTATACATTCACTCTCAAGACTATGCCATACAATGAAATATGATGAAGACCTTATTGCAATAATTGTACCAATTATATTGCAATAAATATCTAACATGAGCCATTTGGAAACTTTTTTATATTGTATTATTTCCAAAGCAGTTAACAGAATATAACCTTGTATCTCCAAGGATACAATTTTACATGAGAAGTAAAAAACATTTCAGTTTAACTTAATGTAATAAGACTGTATTCTAAATGATTTTGGGATCATTTCTATTGGTCTGTTCTTCATGAAAACAAAATGCAACCATTTGCAAATCATTTATACCCTGTATTTATTTAAAGATAGTACAAAGACAACATATCAAAGGCTAAAACTTGTTTTTTGAAAAAATATATGCCGTTGTGAATTTGATGGCAGCAACACGTTCCAAAAAAGTTGGGACACGGTCATGTTTACCACTGTGCTGCATCACCTCTTCTCTTTCCAACAATACGTACGTGTTTGGGAACTGAGAAGACCAGTTGCTGTAGTTTTGAAAGTGAAATGTTTTCCCATTCTTACTTGATGTAGGATTTCAGCTGTTCAACAGTTCCAGGTCTTCTTTGTTGTATTTTTCATTTTAAAAAGTGCCAAATGTTTTTAGTGGTGACAGGTCTGATCTGCAGGCAGGCCAGTTTAGCACCCTAACTTTTTACTATAGAGCCACGCTGTTGTAATATGTGCAGAATGTAGTTTTACTGAAATAAACAAGGCCTTCCCTGAAAAAGATGTTGTCTGAAGGCAACATATGTTGCCAAAACCTGTATATATCATTCACCATTAATGATGCCTTCACAGATGTGCACGTCACCCATGCCATGTGCACTAATGCACCCCTGTACCATCATGGATGCTGGCCTTTGAACTGTGTGCTGATAACAAGCCTGATGGTCGTTAGCACGGAAGGTGTAGTGGCCATGATTTCCAAAAGAGAATTTCAAATTTTGATTCTCTGGACCACAGGACACTTTTCCACTTCCCCTCAGTCCATATTAAATCAACTTTAGCCCAGAGAAGGTAGCAGTGTTTCTTAGTCCTGTTTATATATGATTTCTGCTTTGCATTTTAGAGTTTTAACTGGCATTTGAGGATGTAGTAATGAACTGTGCTCACAGACAGTGGTTTTCAGAAGTTTTTCTGAGCCCATATAGTGATTTCCACTACAGAATCAGGTCTCTTTTTAATGCAGGGCTGCCTGAGGGCCCAAAGTTCATGACCAGCAAATACTGTTTTTTGGCCTTGTCTCTTGCATACAGAGATTTCTCCAGATTCTCTGAATCTTTTAATGTTATTATGTACCGTAGATGATGAAAAGTAAAGGATCTTTGCTATATCGTAGTCGTATTGCATAGTCGTAAACTCTTCCCCATTTTTACTTCTGAAAGACTGAGCCTCTCTGTGATGCTCTTTTTATATCCAATCATGTCACTGACCTGTTGCCAATTAACCACTAGGTGTTTTTAGAATTACACCACTTTACCAGCCTTTTGATGCCCTTGTCCCAACTTTATTGGAACGTGTTGTTGGCATCAAATACAAATACAAATATTTTTCAAAAACCAATAAAATTTCTCAGTTCCCACATTTGATATGTTGTCTTTGTACTATTTTCAATGAAATATAGGGTTCAAATGATTTGCACATGATTGCATTTTGTTTTTTTGTACATTTTGCACAGCGTCCCAGCTTTTTATCCCTTTGTTGTGATGTCAGCCATTATGAGCACTCAAAACCTTTCAGGTATTCAAACTACTTTTGAACCAAAAGAGTCTGAAAATGTATTTTTAACAATAGATTGGAAAAGTAAAATGTCAAACTATTATTTTGGCCTGCTTTTCATACCAAGAAAGACGTTTTTTTAAGCTGAGTGTTGAAGCTAAACATACCCAAACTATTAGCGCATCACAGTTTAATGTTAACAAAACCTTTGTGGGTTTTCTGTTTTCACTGAATTGAATTGAATTGAAAGATTGAAAGGAACCCCATATATCCCCATACCTTTAACTGGTACTAACTGTATGCATACACTAGTTATTTAATATTCTGCCAGTTGAACGCACAGTCGGCCCAACGCTTTTCTACTTACCTGTTTGTTTCTTAAGTTCTTCCAAAACAGTTTTCTGCTCCTGCACCAAGCTCTTCAGTCCTTTGAGCTCTGAGAGAATCTTGGGGCTGCAATAATATTCTGAATGTTCTGAGTCGCTCCCATGTGACCCTGTGGAGATGCCATCTTCGACCTGTGCCACAGTGAAGTGGTACAGTGAGAATACGAAGAGGATCAGTGCTCTCATTCTGAAACTTGAAGGTCTCTGCATTGTGTCTCATTATATAGGCTAACAGAGCTCTGTTCTGTAGTTAATTAACTGCATGGCTCATAGTTTAACTTGTGTAAACATAATAATCACTTCCAGGGTGGCTTTATTGTTCTGAACTTTTTTATACTTCTTTTATGAGATTTATTACCCATCATTTATAAACTGCTTCAGTGTTTTCAGTTCTTTTGAAAGCCAGTGTGATCCTGTCTGACTCAGTTTTACATGTGGCTTTATGACAGTCATTAATCATTAAGCTGCACTGAAAAACAAATGATAATATTTGAAGGAGGTGGCTATTCTGGCTGTCTGGCTAATGTGCACGTGTAGTCCTTGGGGGTAGGTTGGTGAGGTTTCTTCCACACTAGATCACTAGGAGTTGTTTTTTGTTTATTTGGCTCTTTTTGTCCTTGCTATCACAAACTATCTTTACTCTTTGCTGCACCTCATTGTTACAGCAACAACAAACACAAGCAAATATGTTCATAATTATAGACATCATTATATATGCCATAACTACTAACAGTTGACTTTTTCATAAAATTGTAAAACATGCAGATTCTGTCCAGCTGTCAGCAAGACATTACTTTGGTTACACTGATGTAGCTCAATGTTATATCTGATCGCTACCTAGAAAACTAGCATATCAAATCTGACTGATTCTTTTAACTGTAGTACATTAATTAAGAAAATCATTACTGTTGGGACAAATTCTTGTATTTCCATTTTTACAAAATATGAAAATGTTAAAATTTCATGTCGAGCAGGCTAATAGAAATAGATCAATTTTACTTGAAGAAAAAGCTCCCAGTTAAACTAAAAATGTTTTTTGTTTCTCCTGTAAAGTTAATATTTTCAAAATATGAGGTTTTGTCCCAGCACTAACAATATATTTAATATATGACCAAAAATGGACGTCAGTGGTGTACATTAGCAACACGATAGCTTGCTAGCTAAAAAAAAGAAACATTATTCCCAGTATTCTCCCCAGTTTTCAGTAGTGTCCAATTCAACCCACTAGCTAGATCTCCTCCAATCACACAATACTACCAGCACTAGGAGGGTGAAGGCTAGCACATGCTTCCTCCAAGTTTAGTGAAGGCAGCAAACCACATCTTTTTGAACTGCTGCTATGGCAATGTCACTGGACATCTCAATGTGCTTGCAGGAGAACACTAACTTCCAGTTCTGTTATGTCAGCTAACAGGCACTTGCGATGGCTAGCATTGTGCTAACTTTAGAAGTCCTATATTACCTTTTAACAATGACAGTTGTTTTTTGTTACTGTTGTTGCTGTTGTTAATCCAGTAACCAGCATTTTCAGCAATAAATAAATAAGTAATGGCAAATCAATAAATAAATAATGGCAATTAAGACAAGGTCTGGGGGATCAAGAAAACTTGCAGATAGAACTTTACATGTTGGCCAGAAAGGCAAAGCAAAATCCCCATATGGCAGCACAGAACCTGTAGGAAGGTTAAACTGATACAGGAGAAGTGATGCACTATTTTGCTGTGCAGCATTTCTTGCAAAAACATGATTCAGATGGAAATGTTTGTTTGTTTGTTTCTTTCTTTCTTTCCTAGAAAGGCTGTCATACATTCCTTCATCAGATGAAATATAGAGCCTAAGTAGTTTCTTTATTGTCTCTAACACTGATGAAACTTCTATAATGCTAATAAAAAGCATTATAAATATGCTAATAAAAAGCAGATTGTTTCTGCATTTAGATCTCCATAGTCCTCTTGAATGGCCTTTTGATTTCAGACCTTGCCTTTCTTTATCAGATTTGCAATTTAAACCACGCAGAAGCTCTCAGCACAGCTGTGTGGAACAATTTAGGGGCGTTGCTTCATAATTTTCATGAACTACATTCAAAGTAATTCATAGTAAAGCTGTTCTGAAATTCTCCTTCAGTAATATCTCCAGTGGTGAGTGAATAAAGCACACCCAAGAATGACATTGTTATGCTCTGCATGCATAATTGCCACTGTCGTTTTGAATGTAGTCAGCCACTAATTCAGTCCACATAGGTGGTTTTAGTGAGGCTCAGATATGCCTCAGTAAGCGCTCTGTGGGACCACGCATTTTCAGAGCTGCAGAGTCCCTGAACTGATGCTGTCCAGGCAAACCCCTTCCAAGCATCAATCCTCAGCAGAAATTAGACTGGCTTCCTGGAAGAACTGCATGGACAGGTGTAGGAAGAACTAATGCTGTGTTTAAACCTTAGAAGTTGCAGTTATCAGTAGTGATAGGAACAGACCTTATAGGTCCAGAGGATGAATGATAAGAATGGATAATGAAAAACATGGAGAAATGGAGAACGGCATTCTGAACCTTCTAGTAGGCGTAGTATGTCCCTACTAAACCATATCAAAGGGCCTACTGGCAATTGATGATATCAATTCAGGGGAATGATAACATTTGACTTGGGCGGAAAAAAGTGCTGCGATTTTATAGTAATCATTTCTCACTTCTAGATTGTTGATAGAAATTCCAAAGGTTCCAAATATTCAATTTTTTGAAGGAAAATAGATATTATAGTTGGAATTTGATTGTATTTATGCATATAATGCTGTTTTATGGAAAGGAAAAATCACAGAAACATTCTTTACATTTTTGCCAATGTTTTATCATCTTTTAACATTGAAATAAACAACAAAAAAGAGAGTGAATTAAATGTGATTACAATTCATTTTATAACTGTGTAATTAATAAGTAATTACATTGAAACAGTGTAGCACAAGGTTTCTCAGGGCTAAAACATAGCAGACCCATATTCTTTATGTCTTTAAAGGTTCTTGACACTCAGAAATCTCTATTTAAGGTGTAGTTCTTTAGGTAAACCAAAGTATTTCTTCTATGGCATCGCTCAAAAACCCTCAAAGCACACATTTGTGCAATACAAAATAGTACAGCGATTGCAATAAGTAAGAAGGTGTGAAATACAGGGGTCCTGTGGGATCTATAACACCCTCATTAACCTCTCGGACCCCCTGAATGTCTCAAAATCAAAGTTCTGTGGTGTCCCTGAAAATAAACTAATTAGGATGTTATATTGAGGTATGTTAAGTTATGCTGTCTGTTAGGAGAAAAATAGACACTCAAATACAAATTAAGGGAAAGTTAATTGTTTAGCTGCTTCACTCAGGAAACAATGAGCTTTTGTCTTTGGCATTCTTTACTAACTAGAGCTGCAGCACTATCTGCCTCAGGGTGGCGCTGTGGCAAATTGGTTCACTCAGTTGGTCCTTCATAGCCTAGCAGTTGTAACACTGCCCAGGATATCTCCAAAAGAAACTTTACAGAATATTTGCAAATCTAAAAACATGCCCAATTCCCCAGAAATGAGTGGAATTAGTGAACTGTCAACTGTTACTCATTTCCCAAACTGAAGACAAAAGAGATGTGAAAGATCTCAATGTGTGGAAGAGCACAATACCACACTAGAAAAGAGCATTTTCAAATGAAGAGCCGTTAAACCAAACAGTAAAGCTAACATCAGTGCTGCTATGGTGAATGAGTAAGCAGCCAGCCAATGTTGGAGTAGCCAGCCAATATTGAACCCCTTGAATACAAGTGGGTATCTCACACCCTGATAGGTACTATAGTATGGTCATTTACAAACTACAGGACCTACAAAGATTATGGCAAAGATCTTAGAGTTTGATTATGATTGAAAGACTAACTGTGTTTTGAAGAGATTTTGCAATTTCCACTAATTTTCAACATTCACCCTATGCACCAGCGTGATCCCATGCCATGCGAAGTACAAAGCTAGCAGTGGATCACCATCTAATATTGCTAACCAGTTTTTGCCCAGAGGGTTCTTCCAGTCATGGACAAGCTTTGTTTCAGATGTGTCGACACCACAAAGGAGAGTGAGTGAAAGGGCTGTCACTTAGTATCAGCATGCCTGTGTGTCAGGGGAGAAAGACAGCCTTGGGCCAGCATTGTGATTGATGACGGTGCCCAGGAGAAAGCAAATATGTAACTAAGAGCCAGGGTGGAGAACACACCATAAATCTGTAGGGATCAAAGTCTGACACATTCTCAGAGGGGTGGAATAACACTCTCCCCCTGATGAGAAAGACCAGAGCGTGTCCAATGCATTATGCATCCAATACTCAAACAATTCTTCATCTGCCTAATGGCTCAGTGAAGGGCGAGTTCTCTTAAATGCAGCCAGTGATCGCCCTTGCAATGGCATCTGATTGGAAATGTGGTTTTGATCGTTCTCGGAGATCTGTGCAATCGCGTTCCATATATGACTCCTCGCAGCAGCCCCCACCTGAGCTTTGGACCGAATTGGTCCGATGTGTCCCCTGCGAAAATATACTTTCTTGTCACATAGCTCATATAAATTCAATATCATTTATATGAGTGTGTGTTTATGGCCCTTCTGAGACTCTCATTTCAAAGGGCTGCCAGGGTGGTTTGATGGCTCTTTATATGGGGATAGAGGAAAAGGATGGTGGAGGGAGCGGGTGGGGGCGCATGGGGAGGTGAAGCAGAATGCTGCATGGTTAAATCTCTCCAACAGAACCGGTGGCTACTGAGTGACATGTAGACAGACAGTGCAGAAAAGAGAGGAAGATTGCAATCCTTTAAAGGGCTGGGGAAATGAGAGCGTAACTTTGCTCTGTCAATCACCCAGGCCCGGCTGTAATAACCAGTCCACAGGTTTCTCTTCCAAACCAACAACGCAGTCCGCCGCTCCGTTCAGGCCATGCTGAAACTGTGACCTGAATATAAATGCATGGTGTATCAGCACTGTAGGAGTGCTACTGAGCCTCACTACTTCCATGTTCCACGTTCAGCATTAACAAATACTGAGAAGACAATTCAATAGGTTCCACTTTAAATGGATAGGCATCTGTATGTTCTGTAGATGTTCAAGTATTTAGCAAACTATTGGAAAGCAGCTTTAGGGTTAGGGTTAGGATTAATAGCAGGGTATGGTTTAGGACCAGGTTTTTGAGTTAAGGATAAAGTTATGGTTTGGCCCAGTTTAAGGGTTAAG